GGGAACTGTCGACATGGGGGTTAGCAGTCCACTGTGCAACCCACTATGCCACCAGAGCCCTGAATTCTAGATGTAAAAATTGCTACATTGGCATGTATTTTTGTTGTACTTATTTTCCCGACAATAAAGAGAATTGTGTAACCCTATCGTTCTTATTTTCAATTCATTCACTGGCATTCTGTTTGATAAAAAAAGTATCTTTACTGCTCTAAGGATAATGTTATGAAGTATTAAATTATAATAATAAGCACTCTACCTTTGAGGTCTTCCACGGTTTCCTGTGCTGGCATCTCCTAAACAAATGAAAACAAAACATGTATGTGTATGACTCAGTGCACTGCACTTTTCCAGTCAGTCGGCAGATATTGTCTAGCAATTGCTATTTTTTCTAAAGGGCCTGTAAAGATGCCCACTCTCCTTAAAAATAAATAAAAGAATGATAGAAAATGAGGGCTAGGGAGCTCCTCTAATCTCCCCCTCCTCCCATAGAAGACCCATAAATAATTCGAGTTGATGGAATCTCTTTCAGTCCAGGACTTGCTTTTGATATACATGCTTCAAAAATGAAGTATATTTCATTTATGAGAGAAGGAAAGAGATCCAACCAAGAGAACTGTACCAGGATTAAAAGTGTGTGTGTGTGTGTGTGTGTGTGTGTGTGTGTGTGTGTGTGTGTTGGGTGGGGGCGATCACTAAGGAAGGAAAAATGAGAGAGAACAAGATACTACTTATAGCGGAATAAACAATAACACTATAAATAAATGTGCTTTTACTGTGGGGTCAATGAGGACAGCAGGGGACAGGTGGATCAATTCCAAGTGGGAAGGGACTGCTCACATGACAGACAGGAGAAGAGAGATGAAAATGAAAGTCTTCAAACAGATGATCTGGCTACAGAGGAGGGGCCCCCAGAGTAGGGGCCGAGGACAGAACCAGTCAGAGCAGGTTCGAAGCTCAGGCCCCAGTATTTACGTGATGGTGCCAAGCGTCTACCTCAGACCAACTCCAAACTTGAAGGATGTGCCATTCCATTCGCACAGGGAACGGTATTTATGAGTATACAACCCGTCTGCATGTAAAGTACAAATGCTACCATTGTATACTTCTCTCGAAGTGAAATAAACATTTAAAAAATAACCAAAAGAAGAAAATAAGGCACTAACCAGTAGCCCAGAAGAGTGGTGAGAGTTTATGCTGTGCCCCTGGGAGCTGCAGTGCAGAGGCGGTGTGGTTAGGCTGCGACTAGCCTCTTCCTTCTTGCCATTGTTAATCTGCCTATTGTTGCTAATCCAACATGAAAAACATGAAGTCATTATATATAAAAGAGAAGAACAACTCTTTCAGTATTCCTCTAAAAACAATTTTCCCTCAGAGTCCACTTTGGCATATTCAGTATATAAATATATATATAAAATTTTAAGAGCAAATAATAAATATTATCAAGATTATTTTTAAATTATAAGGCATGCTCTTTATATAACAATCAGAAATAACGGTAAGAATAATGGCAATTATGCTAACTTGAGAATTATTTTATTTTATTATTTTCATTTTAATAAACATGGATGTTATTTTTTGAAATATTCTTGAATGCTTCAAGTATTTAAATGACAAGACAAAAACACTAAAATAAAATTCTAAGCCTGGTGCAAAGGAATTTCAGATCCTGGTATGAAGCCATACTGGTAGCTAGATAAATCAGATTGATTAAAAATATCAAATTTATGTTTCACTGGAAAATATTTTAATATACTTAAATACATATATTTGAGGAGTATATTGTGTCTGCCTCTACTAGCATATTTCCATAAAGAACTACAAGTGAAAAATTACTTTACATCAAAATGAGAACATCTTAATTATGAACTGACACATTAATTGGAAAGTTACCTTGGAGCTTTATGATTAGTTATGTGCTCACTGCTGGGCTCTTTGTCTTGATTTGACTTCTCTTTCTCTCTGGAGGGCTCTTTCTGAATTGCTTCCCCTTTATCAAACATGAGGTGTAGGCGATAACTAACCAACTTGATTACTGTGAAGAATATCGTCACTGAACTGCAGTAAAAAAAGGCAGTGATCGAATTTGGAGGAAAAGCCTAAAAGAAGAAAAAATAAAGAAAAAATGAAGCAATTAACTTAATTAGCAATGATAATCACTCAATTATAAGATTGTCTTTTTTTTTTTTTTTGCCCTGAAAGCATTTTTGCTCTATTTATTGAGAAGGAATTGAGCAAGATTTTAATTTCATTAATTTTATAAGTTTTTTTAGATATAATATCGAGGAAAGAGAGCTGCAATCTTTTCCCCCCCCTTCAGTTTTGCATCTTTCTCGGGTTCTCATACTTGTGTGGATGAGCAATATTTGATTTGCAGCCAAAAACCTCACAAAATAAAGTGAACCTTTCCCTTTTCTATGAGGTCTTTCCCATAGCTTAATCCTGTTCTGCACATCTGGGCTTCAAGGCTGGAAAAGGACTTTCAGGTTCTGTTTTCTAGCAAAACACATAAAGTAGAGAGTCTCGTGGCAAAGAAGAGAACGTTAGCACTGTGTTTCTCTCCTTCCCCTCCCAGCCCTCCCATGAGGTCTGTGGATTTCTCCATGGTGGTGAAACAGAGGAGAGACCTCAAAAGGATGTATATGACGTGGTCCAAAAGGAGAAAGGACATCTTCAGGAATAGCATGTGCTCTTAACATGTGAAGTTCAATGCAGTTGGTCCAATCCTCTAAAAAACAAGAACCACTTAAGGTCCAACATCAGGATCTCCCACACATCTGTCTAATTCTTTTCCAGGAACAGTGACTATCATGGGCTGAGTGATTCTTCCTAAAACTGAAATCTTAACTTGTGGGATGAAGAGGAATTCTCGAGGATGCCCCAGCCCACTGTGACCCAGCATCAGGGTAAAAGCGTCTGTGAAACAAAATAGCTCAGCAAAGGGAACCGCAGAGAAGAGTGTAACACTATCACCAGTAGGTGCAGGATGGCATGAAGGATTTTCAAAATCACTTACTCCTTTTAATAGGAAAAAAGATCCATAAAGCAATATAAACTAATAAACAAGGAAAATTTAAAACGGCATAAAATAATATTGATAGATAATGGATAAATTCAAATCCATAACTGGAAGCAGGTAAGTTTCATTTCTACACCTACATCTCCTGAAGTGCCACTGTAAAACACCTCAAACAACATCTAAGTCAAAAAGTACTGCCACTGGGCTTCCAGTTCATACATGTAGGAGCGTATTCCAAACAAAACGTGTTTAAAACATGCCTGCAATCAGTAATGAACGTGTCTTACTCTCATAATGGTGCCTTCACACACACACACACACACACACACACACACAAGGGAGGTGGTGGTGATGCTTATCAGCCATCCCAGCAACCCAGCAAGGAAGGCACTGGGCATCCTTGGCCCCTTGCAAGGTAAGCTTCAACCCCTTGGCAAAGTATGCTCCAGCAGTCCCTGGACCCCAGCAAAGCAAGCCCAGGCAAGGCTGTGACCTGGCAAGGAAGGCCCAGCTATCCTGGAAACTAAGATAACAAAGATAAAAACTAAGATAACAAAACAAAAGGTTTTGTTTTTATTTGTTTGCTTGTTGTTTAAGAGAAGAGAGAGAGAGAGGAAGGAAGGAAGGAAGCCACAAACAACTAAAAAACACCTAGGCCCAAAGTATCACTCTGAAGAAGAGGTCCTGGAAGTACCAGAAATAGAATTCAAGAGAATGATGCCTTCAATAGATGGAGGAAAGAATTACAACACTAGAAACCCTACATCAAATAGATCTCCAGAATAGAAAGAGTAAGATGCCCGGATTTGACAACACGGTAAAAGAGCTAAGCTATACAATTAAAGACAGAGAATATGGATATGTTACGAAGGACCAGGTCCTTAAGAGCATCATGCTTGGTAAAGTACAGGGTCAGAGGAAAAAGAGAATGACCCTCAAAGAGATGAATAGAAACAATGGCTTCAGAAATAGGCCCAAGCATAGGAGTGATTGTGAACTTGCATAAGTCAGGCAGCGTTTCATTCTGTTGTTCACCGAGTTGCTATGAGTTGGAAGCAACACGTTGGCATCTAACAATAACAAAATGAAAGGCAGTATACATATAAACTGTAAATTTAGAAAACATGGATCAATCCCTCAAAAATGCAAACTACCAAAACTTTCCAATATTAAGACAATGCAAAGGTAAGTTAAAAAGTATTGATTTTAATTATTAAATGTCTCTTGGAGGTTACTTAATTTACTTCTCAACAAGTTAATAACACTGCTTCTAAAGTAGACTAGCAATATATGTAAGCTTTATACATAAACTTCAGATATAAAAATGGATTTGAGCTTGCACTTAATCCTAAACCCTAATCTAAGAATAATCAGTTCTCACATGGTGGGTGCTATAGAAAGTGTAGGAGCCCTTGTGGTGTAGTGGTTACAAGTTGGGCTGCGATGCTCGGGGTCAGCTGTTGGAAACCACCAATAGTTCCTCAAGAGAAAGACTGGGATTTCTACTCCGATAAACAGTTATAGTCTCTAAAACCACAGGGGTCTCTATGAGTGAGCAATGACTCACTTGGTGGTAGTGAGTTTGGTTTGGGGTTTATAGAAAGTGTGGTGAAGAAATCTGATGATGCCTGGATATTTTAAAAAATAGTTTCTAGGGTCTTAAAGGCTTGTCTTAAAAACAATCAGCCATCTAGGTGAGGTGTCAGCTAAGTCTCTATGAAAGAAACTCACCAGCCCATGTAAGCCAAGGGTTGGAAATAATAAAATCCAAGATCACAGGAGGGAATTGTACTAGAGCTTAAATTGAGCACCAAGTTTGCATAAAGCTATAGATGACAGGGAAACCCAAAATCCATTTGCAAAGTCCGCACACGGCTTAAGCCTCCATTGAACTTCTTCAGATAATTCACTAGGGTTGTGAATAGGCTTTCCCTCCGAGTGCACTGGGAAGTGGATAACTGAAGATATAGTTAGGATAATTTTAACATTTTATCATTTGTTTTCCCTTTTGACCTATTTCTAATTTGTTCTAGTTTCTATTGTCTTCTGCTTCTTTTGGATCAAAGTTTTTCTGTATTTTATTTTGTTTTCCTCATTGGGATTTTTTGTATGATTTTCTTTATATGAAATCCACGCTAAAAAAAAAAGAAAGAAATCCAGGCTAGGAAATCTATAGAAACAGAATTGGCAAGGTAATTTGAAGGGAAATGGGGAGTTAATAATAATTGACACAAGAATGAAGACAATGTTCTAAAAATTATTGTGGCAATGATTGCACAACTCTTTTCAGTATATTTAAGTTGAATAGTATGGTGCATGAATTATATGCAAATAAGGCTTTTTATGAGAGCAATAAAAATATATAAATATGAAAAAGATATTTTTGAACAATAGAAAATAAAATAATTTTGAAACTGTGGCCAATATCAAACTTTTAACAAACTCAAATGGATATCTTCCAAAATCATTGATGCTTTCACAAGATACAAGAATGTCCCAGATAAAATAACAGTTTTTAGACAGGCCAAGCATTTTAATAACACTCAGGAAGTCCTCAAATATAATTTAAGAGGGGAAGGCCATCAACCTCATTTGTGGGATACAAAAAGGCTTTTCCCCAGGCTGTTCCCCATATTTATTGTAAGCCCAGACTAGGACACTGCTTGCAACACATAGTAAATGACTGTAGCACACTTGGAAGCAAGCTGCTTAGAAGTTATCTCCCTAAAGGCATCAGCCATCCAGAGCAATCAAACACTATTGTCTGTCCCACCATGCATGGGGCACACTCCCTCCTGATAAGGATAGTGGATTGTTTCCCTGAAGGAGAGCCCAGACCCTAGGTGGAGCCCACTCAAGCATGACTAAAGTTAGGGTGCCATATTGAATCTAGCATCCGCCCATCTTGTCACATGTGTACCCCCTAGTCCCTCCCCTTCCTATTACATATACACCACACCCCTAGCTCATTCCCCTTCCTGTAACGAGTATGCCTATTGTACAGCCCTTCCTGTGACATATGTGGTTACCTGTCATCAGGGGGACTTGCATGCCCCTCAGTATATATAAGCCTTGGCTACAAATATATTCTCTCTCTCCTCCTCCTCCCTCTCTCTGGGTGAACCTGGCTGCTGAAGACTACGGCCATCCCAGAAGTGAGCAAGCTACCATAAAAAGTGTCTTGCCTGGCTAGACCAGAGGAGGTACACTGGTACAGATAGGAACTGAAAATACAGGGAATCCAGGATGGATGAGCCCTATAGGACCAGTGGTGTGAGTGG